CTTTCTCCCTCTCCATTCCGGCGATGGTTTACCGCTCAGCAACTTCATATCCCGCGTGATGTACCCACTGGCCCTTCTCCATCCCGCTGGTCCTACATTTGTCCAGCCCAAATGACATTTTTATGTCGCGACTGAATCGGGTGACGCAAGTCAGAAGGTCGTCAAGGTGTTTTTTAGATTTGCATACAGCTTTAAATCATCCATGTACCAAAGGTGTCTAATATTCTTGTCTGAGTGTGGCAGTATATAACATTTGCGCTGCCTATTCAACATAGTTGTCAGGGGTCGCAGCGACAGACAGAACCATAGCGGACTTAATGCGTCTCCTTGGAATATTCCATTTTCTATTTTAATGGTACCTGCATCTACACTTTTTGGTTGGTGTTTAAGAGAATTCTGGTTTTCCACTGAGACATGGCGTAGTTCAGTAAATTCAGAACATCGGCCTCGACTTTATAAAGCTGCAGCACCTCGGATAGCCAGGAGTGAGGAACACTGTCAAACGCTTTTTGATAGTCTATATACGCTGTGTGCAAAGAGCCTTTTGAGCGTTTCGCGTGAGATGTGATGACCGTATCTATTATTAGTTGTTCTTTACACCCTCTGGATCCTTTTCGACTACCCTTCTGCTCTTCGTCCAACAGGTTATTTCTTTCCAGGTGGCTGTATATCTTTTCCGATAGGATGGACGTGAATATTTTATATGTATATTGTAGGAAGGCAGGTGATCGGCCTATATTTGGATGGCTCTTCTGAGGACACCTTCGTTTTTGGTAACAAATAAGTGATTCCACTGGTCATGAATGGTGGCAGTTCTTCAGGGTTGGACAGCAGATGAGTATAACCTTTGGCTAGTTGTTGATGAATGACCTTGAATTGTTTATACCAGAAATTTTGGATTGTATCCTGTCCAGGTGCCTTCCAATTCAAGGTCTTGTTTATAGCCTTGGTTACTTGGTCGGTTGTTACTTCCCATTCCAACATTGTCTGTAGGTCAGATGTAGATCTCTTCTCGTCAGACAGCCATCTGGTATTGTTGTGAATCACACGGTTTCCCCAGGTTGATTCCCAAAACGTTTTCATGGCCTCTGGTGTGGGGACCTTATTTTCTTGCAGGGTTTCAATCTCCTGATCTTCAGACTCTAAATTTTTATAAAAGCTCCTTTCACTCCTGCTAAACTGACTACTGTGTTGACGTCTTGTGTTGCTTTCCTTATACCGTCGGAGTTTTTTAGCCATAGCCTTGAGTTTTTGTTTAAGGTGATCCAGTATTTCTGTTGCTGTTGGATTTTCGAGGCTTTGTTCCCTTTCAAGAATGGCTTTGGCTTACTTAGTGACTGAGCTGCTGGGGTTCAAGCTTTGATTTTGTGTCAGAATTCCTATGTCCCGCCTGATACTATCGATTTTATTAGTAATTCGGCGCTGCCATCCTGGCGTGGCTGGGACATTTTTAACTTGAGTGTCCGTGGAGATATTCTGCTTGTTTACTGTTAGCACCGCTGCTGCTCCACTATAAATAAGGCTGTGCAGATTTTCGATGGGTATATCAGTTGTTATTTTGGAATCCAGAATTTTGTTGATTTCACCCAATATAGATTTTGTCTTGTTAATATAAATTATTTTGGGAAGTCTAGGTTTCATCATAGGGTCCATTCCATCATAAAGCAAATGAACCCTTTCGAATTCCAGCTCAGCAGCAGATGGTGGTCTGTTAGCTTCCGGTGCTGGGGCCGCTGGTTCATCGTCAGCATTGGGGAGATCAGCAGGTAAATTTATAGATAGTTCTATCGCAACTTCGCGCTTTATTTGTGTAATAATACCTGGTGATAGGCGTCTATTTATAAATATAGATCTTCGCTGGTCTATGATATTTTGTATAGTCTTATGACGAAGCATTGGGAATTTTTCAGTTACCAGTCTATGTAGTTCTCGGCTGTATGGAGTTTTGGCGGTTTCTAGTCGGGTTAATTTGTAATAGCAGCGAACCACGAATGCATTGATTTCCCCTGTCCACATGGTTCTTTGCCTAACTGTGCCTTGTGACGTGGTGGGCATGGGCTCTGATGGTCCAGCAACACCGACATCTTGGCTTGGTACGTTTGGTGGTGGTGTACTCGACTGGGTTGGTAATCTGGTTGGTCCTTGTTCATTGCCGCGGTAGGTTGCAGGTAAATCTTCAAGACGGTTCCGACCCGGCTCCTGCTGCGCTGGCCCGCCTGAGTATCTCTTATTTCTCGTTTTAAAAGCATTTAAATATACACTCTCTAGGGGGTGCTAACCCATAGAGCGGTGGTGCTAGTTTTTGTCCACCCCGGGTTTTTATTTCCCCGGTACCCTCCATATCTGGAGAGCGTTTCCCAATTCGCACAGGGAGGCGCCCGATGGGAGACTAGCAACTCCACACGGGACAATTATTATTAATAATAATAATAAAACAATAATAATAATAATAATGATAATAATAATAATAATAATAATAAAATAATAATATAATATAATAATATATTATATTATAGTATTATGATTATTATTATTATAATAGTAATAATTACTATTAATATTATTTATAATTATTATTATTATTATATTACTATATTATTATTATTATTACTAATATATTATTATTTATTATTTATAATTATTATTATTATAATTCATATTATTATTATTATTTTATTATTATTATTATTATTATTATTATTATTATTATTATTTATCATTACATCTAACTGATTCACAGGCTTCTCTGGGTTAAGAACGCTGGCACATCGGTTTTGAAACAAGATGGCCCGTACGAGGATGATGTTAGAAACATCTTGTCCTAAAACTCTACGGACTGCACTGCATGTGTCCAACACGACCGACTTTTGCATAGGTAAGTATAATTCAAACGGTAATCCTAGTTGTTGCAGTGATGTTTTTAATTTTTTAGGTATTTCTCCAGTTGCTCCGATCACAATGGGGATGACTACTGTTTCCATGTCCCACATTTGGCGGATTTCATCGCTCAGGGGTAGGTATTTATTTTTTTTCTCCATGTGTCTTTTCTAGGTTGGCTCCCAATGGCACAGCGAAATCTACTATATATGCTTTGTTTCATTTTTTAGAGTGAGCACGATATCCGGTATATTATTATACTCGGTCTATCGGTTATAATTTTTCGATTCCAGTAGAGCCGGGTTTGTTCATCTTCGCACACAGCAGGCGGCTCGTATAAATAGTACGGCACTATTTCTGTCAATCCCATGTACTTTTCACGAAGGCTTTGGTGGATTATCTTTCCGACTCTGTTGTGCCTGTCTAGGTAGGATTTCAGTGCCAACATTGAGCAACCAGCGATGATGTGATCCAGGTATTCATCTTTTTCACCGCACACACGACATCTGATATTGTCTTGTCGTTACCGCATTATGTTTCTTTATATACTTTAGTTGCGATGACCTGATCTTGGATTGGGGATATGAACCCTTCTGTCTCAGCAAACAGGTTACCAGAGCGGAGGTAGGCCGTGGACGCGAAGGTATCGATGTTTCGTTCTCGAGTAGGGTGCGGTATTTACCATGGAGTGCCTTACTCTTCCATTGTTGCAGTTGTTGCTCGGGCATGAGCTGGTCCACGCTGAGGCTAAAGTTTTGGTCTGCCAGTCTTAAAGGAGTAGCCTTATTGTCCGCCCTTATGATAGCGTGGTGAATCTCACAGGACGCAGCCCTGGCGAGGAAGTAGTTCCTAAGGTTTGTTACTTGCCTGTTGTGGTTAATAACTAGATCGGGTATACCTCTTCCACCCAACTTTCTAGGCAAGTGGAACCTTTCCAATGATGAACGTGGATGATGTGCTCGAAATTTGCTGAACTCTTTTCTGGTTTGGATATTGAGGTTTTTGAGTTCTGTGTCTGTCCAGTGAATCACTCCAAAGCTATAAGAAACTGCAGATGTAGCATAGGTGTTAACTGCTTTTGCCATGTTCCTGGCAGACAGCTTAGTCTTCAGTATCGACCGGACTCTTTTAATGTAGGTGTCACTTACTGTCTGCTTTGCTGCTGTATGATCTAGACCTCTTGCTTGCAGATATTCAAGATATTTGTACCTTTCTCCCTCTTCCATTCCGGCGATGGTTTGCCGCTCAGCAACTTCATATCCCGCGTGATGTACCCACTGGCTCTTCTCCATCCCGCTGGTCCTACATTTGTCCTGCCCAAATGACATTTTTATCGTCGCGACTGAATCAGGTGACACAACTCAGAAGGTAGTAAAGGTGTTTTTTAGGCTTTGCATACAGCTTTGAATCATCCATGTACCAAAGGTGGCTAATATTCTTGTCTGAGTGTGGCAGTATATAACCTTTGCGCTGCCTATTCAACATAGTTGTCAGGGGTCGCAGCGACAGACAGAACCATAGCGGACTTAATGCGTCCCCTTGGAATATTCCATTTTCTATTTTAATGGTACCTGCATCTACACTTTTTTGATTGGTGTTTAAGACAATTCTGGTTTTCCACTGAGACATGGCGTAGTTCAGTAAATTCAGTACATGGGCCTCGACTTTATAAAGCTGCAACACCTCGGGTAGCCAGGAGTGAGGAACACTGTCAAACGCTTTTTGATAGTCTATATATGCTGTGTGCCTTGTGAGCGTTTCGCGTGAGATGTGATGACCGTATCTATTATTAATTGTTCTTTACACCCTCTGGATCCTTTTCGACAACCCTATTATTATTATTATTATTATTATTATTATTAATTATTATTATAATTATTATTATTAATATATTATTTTTTTTTGACGCCTTCAACTTCTATGGTTATTAGCCGTATTCAATATATAAATATAATATATAAATCTATAGTATAAAATATCTAATCTCTTACATGTCTAAGTGGTAAATGTCGCATTTTTAAAAAACTAAATATGCAAATTCCAGATATTAATCGAAAAGGATATACTATTGTCATTTACTTTCAGATTCTATTAGCAACAAAAGATAATATCTGGGAAATGTTACACGACTAAATTTGTCAGGCATATATTCATTAATATTTTTTTTTTTTGTGGTCATTATCTGCACTTCACGATCTTGTCTGCGTTCACGTAAGTATTTCGATTTATACAAATTCTATTGCTACATATTTCTTTTAGTTCCAGATGACAACACTAAGATAAGGTAGGTATGATGCAAAATCATCGTTACATAAGATTTATTTAATCTCAGTTGAGAATAAGATACACAAAAATTAGAATGGTTCATTTCCAAAAAGTTTATTAGGTCAGATCTTCCAATAGAAACCAGACACTTTTAAGAATGATATGACGTTTTTCAGTTTTTCTGGTTGTGTGAGACTCTCTGTCAGGTTATCAAATGGTCCATAGATCACTCGATATTGGGACAATATCGGACATGTGCAGATAATGTGGCGTACAGTGAGTGAAGAGTTACATCCAGTGCACAAGGGCGGATCTGTTCCGAGCAAAAGATGTGCATGTGTAAGACGTGTGTGGTCAAACCGTAAGTGTATGCGCACCCATTCATCTCGTGGCAGTCTGATAGGATGAGGCCATGATCCTACACTAGGTTTTATCTGTCTTAAGTGGGTATCAGTGTTACCCCATGTAATTTGCCAGTGTCGCTGTATACGGTTTATGAGGTAGTTTTTATGATCAGACATTTTTATTTCAGGGATGTCGATGTTTTGTTGCGCTGCTGCTGCTTTCGCTGCCATATCAGCAGCTTCATTCCCCTGTATACCAACGTGTCCTGGCAACCACAGAAATTTTACGTTCACCCCTTTATTTAAGAGATGTTTGACCGTTTCAAGACACATCACAGTTAAGGAATCTCGAGATGCATAGTTCATTAGGCCTTGAAGTGCTGAGAGCGAGTCACTAGCTATAATAGCTGTTGTTAGTTATTCGACATGTCACAATCGTAGGGCCTGCCAAATAGCATATTGTTCAGCAGTAAATATGGATGCTATTGGTGATAGTGTCCATTGATGTGTTTTGATCGACTACTATAGCACAGCCGACACCACTGTCAGTTCGCGATCCATCTGTATAGATAACTGTTGCTGCCGGATATCTAGAAACGATTTCCATAAAACGTGATTTATGAGTTCAGATGGATGGTCATTCTTAGATAGTGCAGTCAGCTCGAGATTCACATTTATTTTGGGTGACAGCCATGGAGGAGATTCTCTGTGTTTAACATTATAGATAGGGTTACATGATATACCAATTTCCTCGGCATATTGTTTAACTCGGACTCTGAGAGGTCTTGTTATTGTGGGGCGACAGATGTAGCTCTCATCCGTACTGAAAATGATAGAAAAGTTTCTATGGAATGGTCGTGTTTGAATCTGTGCAGAATACGATAGTGCAAGTTTTTTACGTCTAATGGATAGAGGTTCAACTCCGGATTCGCAATAGAGGCTAGCTGCTGGAGTTGTACGAAATGCTCCAAGGCAGAGACGTAATCCTTGGTTGTGAACTGTATCAAGTTTTTTAAGTAGTGACGGTCTTGCAGATGAGTAAACAATGCTACCGTAGTCAAGCTTAGATAGAATGATGCTCTTGTATATCCGCATCAGCATCTCAGCTTCTGCTCCGAATCGTGTTGACGACAGGCATTTTATTAGGTTCAGGGCTCTCTTGCACCTGTTGTGTAAGATCCTCAATGTGTCTCTCCATGTCAGTTTACTGTCGAGTGTTAGGCCTAGATTTTACAGAAGACACACAGGGTATGCGTTCATTGTTGAGACAGAGGCGTGGA